GTGACAGTTTGTTCATGCAGAGAGAGAGAGAGAGAGAGAGAGAGAGAGAGAGAGAGCGAGAGAGAGAGAGTGTTCAGACGTTGAAAATATGGGACCAATTGCAATTGGGATTGGAATTTGAAAATCTATCAAGGTAGCATCCCTTGAGGTCAAATTGCAATAGGCAAAATTCCTTATTGGCCTGAATTGCAATTTGGCCTTGAAATCAAATAGTCTGTCTTTCTCCAAATTTCTCAACAGGAGTGTGAATTTTAAATTCCTCTCGATGACTTATGTTAATTGAGCTAAAGAAACACTTTCTAGGGTATGTTTTCAAATTTTGTTTTTTTGTGATTATTTGTTCGAATGAAAATAGTGCATATTTAAAAATTGGGGTCATACAAACGGCCCTAACATGGTTTTTGAAGACTCCCCTCATCCAAGCTTTATCTCAACTATTTGGGGTCAGATACATGAATCATGTTCCACCATTCTGCTCCTATCAAGGGCCATATCCTCAATCAAACCATAAGTCACCATATCTCTTTTCAACATGTGCATCAATATCCTTTTTGGCCTTGCCCTTATCTTTTTAGATTTTTTCATTTGACCAAATAACCCCTCCTAGCCGGTGTTCTAGGTCGACACTGCATATGGCCAGCACATTTAAGTCTACTTTCGTTCATCGTATCACCTATCGGAGCCACCCCTAAATTCCCTCAGTTGTATTCATTCCGAATTCTATCATTCTTGTCTTGCCACTCATCTATCTCAACACCCCCATCTCAGCTACACTCAATTCTATGGATGTGTTGTTTCGTGCCCATGCAACCGTTCCACAAAGCATGGTTGGTGAATGGGGTTTTATCTACTTACTTGACACATTGCTTTTCTTTTAAGGACTCTACAACCCATACCATTAACATCAAAATTAAAGGACACAATATGCTAGGGCCTAAGGAGGGACCTAATAAGAGTTTGAGAGGGGAACCAACTCACATCTTAAAGGTCCCCCTTCGATTACCAGGAAAGATCTTTTTGCATAACTCATGACTTATCCTATGCATAACTGTACTATGTTAGAAATCTTTATCAAACCTGCCTCACCAAGCAGTTTAAATGCTTACTAACCAAATTCACCAATTATAAACATGGGTAAGAATAGTTTCCCCACCTTCCAAGTCCTGAAAGCCCCAACACCCTCCTTGTGTTCTCAATCGACATTCTCGAAAAACAAACAGTAAAAACATGTACACCCATCTAACAATCCTGAAATTCCCCAAAGCTCAATGTCTACAAGCTAAGCTACAAGCTCCAATCCACAAAGACTCTTTACATTCAACTCATAACATTCCTCATTATTGGTGTTAATGCCTTGAATCTCGGACTTCATTGAAGATATGCTACACATAGTTCCAGGTGCATTCCAGATCCCAGAGCACACTCCCATGGTTCAAAAGTGGGAACTCGTTCCCAACATGTTCCCACTCTTTTGGGAAGGCGTTTCTTTGTTTTTCTTCGGAACTCATCCCACTAGAGTTATCAAGGAGGGGGACATTTTTATTCTAAACAAAATTTAAAAGAGAACTTGAGCATCAAAATCCTTTGATTATTTTTTCATCTTTATCTCATTTTTAAATATTGCTATTCTATTTATTTATATTTATTGTATGGGCTCTCCCTACCTGAAGAGCCTCTGGTGAGCAACAGTCCCCCACTCTCTAACCTCCTCCAGTTGTGTTGCAGACCACTATGATGGTACATCAACCAAAGGCCTGTTGGAGATGGTTCAAAAGAACTTCAAGGGGGAAGAAATCACATTTTTTCTCCATTGCTCTCCACAAACCCTAGTTTGGCACGGTCCAACTGAATACGCACAGAAGTGGGCTCCTCATATGCAGAGTTTTCCATGAACAAGTCACCCCATCTTCTATTGCTTATTCAATTTGCCAAGTCATGGATTGTCTGACCCAATGTTCAAAAAGGCGTAGGTGCATGCCTAGGCGTTTTGGGGGCCTGGCCGCCTAGGCAGCTGGGTGCCCGCCAAGAACACGAACAGATAGGGACTATTAATTCGGATAAAAGTTGTATAATAATTATTATTTATTAATTAATATCCATAAGATTTGGCTTTGGATATCAAATATTCACAAAATATCAATTTCATACAAAGTTTACGACTATTCACAAGATATAAGTCCAAAGCGGTAAATGTTTCATCTACAAATATGTAAAAATATCAAAATAGTTAAACAAAATTAAGAGGATATCCAAACATCACACATTTGTACAAAATAAGAACCAATTATTCATATAAGAATTCGATATAGGATCAACTTCATCGTCCAAATGAGTTAATAATCAATTAATCAAAAAAAAAATCAATCTTTCAACTACAAACATGTAAATATATCATAAAAGGAAAAAACAAGTTAAAAAAGAAAAATTGCATGATCCAAAACATAGTACTTTACAGCAAAAAAACTCAAAACCCTAATTGAAATATCATAATGGCACAAACCTCGTCTATTCAATCACCAAAAGTCCTCAGTATTGACCACTATAAGCTCTGAAAAACTATCATGAAGCATTGCCTTTGATTACGGAAGAAATCTAAAAAATCAAAAATTTTATCTATCTTTCGATAAATCACAAAATAGAGGTTTTTGGGAAGTTCTTTTCTATCTAGATGGCACGGATTTCGTTTTGGGGTTTAGAATGTCCCCAAAACCCTTTTGCCTTTTTACTCCCTTTTTAGAGGGTGGGGGGATTACTATTTTGACCGTAGCCGAGGGCATTTTTCCGCCCTTGGCAACCTACATCGAGGCGGCGCCTTGCCAACCTAGATGCAAGCCGCCTAATGCCCTGCTTACGTGTTCTAGGCGACAAACAGCCTAGGCAGCTTGGCGTCCGAATTTTCGAACATCGGTCTGACTTTGCAAGCAGGACTAAAGAAATTCGCATCAGGAGTCGATAGAAATCATCAGTTTTTCAATCAATAATGTATAGAATCTCACTATTTCAAAATAACTTCATAAGTTGGAAACATGGGAAATATGAGCAATTAACAATAGTAGAAGATTTTGGGATAAAAGCAAACAAGCATGAACACAACAGCTCCAAGAGTGAAAGTATCGATATTAGTGAATCCAAAAGGACCAAAATAAAAGCCTATAACGAGATATCTGTATAAATCAGGGCCTAAAAAGTAAACATCAAGACAGGTAACATTTTTCATAAGAAGCCAATGGAAATTACATATTATTCACCTCCAATTTCCCATTTGCTTTAGTGTTGGGTCTAAGAAGCCAAGGGAAATTACATATGATTCACCTCCAATTTCCCATTTGCTTTAGAGTTGGGTCCTTGGTATCAGTGATATGTGATGCATGAGCCTGACACTATAAATTTCTATCAGGGCTGGATGCGCTTTGTTCCATGTAAATTTATGTCCTATTACTCTTTTTGCCACACATACGTAAAGCTTTCTATCAGGGTTGGATGTGCTTTGAAGACCTAAAATTGAGACACAATTTACAAGAGAGAGGTCTAGGGTTTAAATCATAGTTCTTGGATCAGAAGCAAGGTAAGATCCAAGATTGGGATTGGGACTGCATGATCGAGAGATGTAACAAGATATGTTGGATAGGGATTGAGATCTGTACACCATGAGTTAAAGGGACAATGATCCCAATATGAGGGAGCGAATGCAAATTTGTCTAGGATCGAACGATGAAGTATTGGGATTGAGATTTGTCCAACTTAGAATCGAGGCTGTCCAAGAGAATAACTCGGGTACTTTAGCTTAGGTGTTGCATGATATGATTAATTTTGCTGAATTCAACAATCCAAGTATCATTGAATACCAAGAATCCTGTTTCTAAAATATTTTTAAAGATTTTTTGTTGTCATTGCAACATGTTTCATAAGGGAGAAGTGAGACTGAAAACCCAAAATGAGGATCCAAATTTCAGTCCTCACAAATCAAAGAAGCTCTAGTTTTTGATAAAAATGCTGGTGATCCAAACAAAACAACTTAAATATGGTGACCCACACTCCCATTGTAAATGAATCTCAAAAATGTTTTGGTGATCCTCGTACCAATATAAAAAAAACTCAATTCCACGGTGGAGGCTCGATTACACTTACTCATGGACCTATGATTTTGGATGAGTGGGATCTGGGTGCCACTAACCAAAGATATAGATCCCCAATTTTGTGGATCGAGATCCCTAAATTCCAAAAAACTCTGGAGTCAAGATCTCTTGTCCCAGAGCACAGGATAGAGCTTCCAAAGCTGGAGCAACCACATTCTTGGGCGATCCGGGTAACGATGGTTTAAACCTCCATGAGGAATCATTCTGATCAACCAAAACAATTATGAAAAGTGAAAACCAAAAAAATAAGACAAGTTCACTACAGATGACCAGTTCTTAGTCATGTGTAATTGTGTAACATGAATAAAGTTTCTTACATTTTTCAGTTTTCTCATGTTTATTAATTACAAAATGCCATTAATATTCATAGGCATTTTAATTACTTGGATGAGACTCACAGACACCCGATATCCAAGTCGACTCACAAGGGGGTCAAATGAGAGCTGAATCAAGTCAAGTCTTTATACTTCGGCTAAAAAGATATATAATCTGCCACAAGGATTTCCTTAACAAACTAGGTATAGGTAGCACATCACAAGCACTTGGATTAACTATACCAAAAGCAACATAATCTAGTTATATTCAGCCACAAAAACCACCTTATTATAGTTCATCGATTATGTTACCAGAGGTCACAAAAGAAAGTGTGCTGCTTCATAGAAGGATATAAATTAGATATAGCAAGAGCTACCCAAACTTACCGAAGCAAGTACTAGGATAGAAAAGAAATTCAAATGCTGTGCGTGTGAGAGTAGCCGGCGCTTAATTTTTGTCAGATACGCTGATATGATTCCATCATGTCCTTTTGAAGAAGCATCCAATTCTTTATCTAATTCTTCCATAGCTTCCAATTTGCTACCTGACATGTGTGCTGTGAAAAATCTAAGTTAATAGATGCAGCACATTACATTTAAAATAAAAGAAGCAGCTCGACAATAATCATGCGCAGCTCAGAATGGTTTTGAAGAACAAGAAACAAGTTAAATAACTACAAAAAGGAAAAACAAACAAGCCGAAGCTGTTAAAAATCATAATCCCCAAATACAGATAATTAATAGTGTAAACTAAAATATATAGCAGCTTGACAACCATCCCCAAGTAAAGAGAAAAAGGACAGTCCTCATAAGTTCAAGTTCATAATTATCTGATTCAAGACAAGAGCAAGAGTATGTTTTACACATACCCTTGAGACTATGGTTCATTTCAGCATCATAATTAATAGTCCCAAAACTATTTTTTAGCAAGTATGTAAAACGGAATCATAAATATTTGATATTGGCTCTCAACTACTTCACTAGTGAGCCAATTATGCATCTTCACTGCTTTAACATCATCATCATCATTAGAGCCTTTTCCTAACTATTTTGGGTACACTACATGAATCCTGGTTCGCTATTCTGGTTTATCAAGGGTCATTCCCTCAGTGAGGTCATATTTCACCATATCTTTTCTCTCTACTTCCAATCATGTCCTTTTGGGATCACCCCTTGCCCTTCTTGAGCCTTCCACTTGAAGCAACTCGCACCTCCTAATAGGTGTACTGGGTCTGTGCTGCACATGGACAACCCAACTAAGTCTACTTTCTCTCATCTTATCACCTATTGGAGCACTTAAGTTCTCTCAAATGTATTCATTTCAAATTCTATCCCTTCTTGTCCTACCACACATCCATCTCAACATCTTCATCTTAGCTTCATTGCTTTAACAGTTCATTAATAATGCTAGCACTGATGGTAAAATTATTAGTACGTGAACGATGTGCTACACAGCTTACAATGCATGGGAACATCAAAAACTAAATCAATGCATAAAAAATTGGTTACTTGGATTGGGAATCACCCAAGTCTCTCAGAACCAAGCCTCGATCGGTTTTGGAGGGTCATGACTAGTTAGACTAGGGATCCCTACACAGAATAAGCGGGAATAGTGACCCATCCTGTTCTTTGTCAGACTCATCTGAGATACTGAATCCTGGCTAAGTTGGCAAGGACTAGCTAAGTCCGATTGTTCTTTTTGATTTCGGCTTCAGTGGAAAAAAAAAAACCCTATAAGTTGACCTTTCCCAGTTTGTAGGGGGTATTAAGCTCCATATTTGATCCACATGAATCTTCTTTAGCCTCTATCAGATCCATCAATATGATTTTGAAAAAACTGACAAATTTTCATGGATCCTAAAGAATTTGAATTTCCAATTTCAAGTTTCAAAAAGCTTCACGAGCCTCCTATCTTGTTGATTCAAAGCCTACCGCAAAAATACTCAAGGGGTTTTATTTTAAAGACTATTTGGGGTCAATCCATGACAGGTAATCAATTTTACACTGTTTGCATCATCTTTTATTTCTTGAAGTTGAATTTTTTAATGGTAACACTAAAAATACTTTAGATTTTTTTCAAAATACTCTAGAAGTCTATGCTTCATTTCAACCAGATCTAGCATATATGAACTGACCAAGAGCTAAAAATATGAAATTTTTTCTTAGATATTGAACTTTCAAAATATGTAAAGATTAAAAATGTAATGATTCTTTCTTTTAGAATGGAGCATGTTTATAGTCATAACATTTAATAGCGCATAATGGTGGACCAGGATTCATGTAGCCGATCCCAATTAATTGAAAAAAGATGATGATGGTGATGATGAATCAATTTCCCGAATTTATTGTTGATTTATCACAAGTTATTCATATCTTTCAGGTCTATTTTTTGCTATTTTCAGGTTTCATCTATTTTATTCAATATCTTCTATCTCTTCATTTTTCTTTTCCACAAAAATTCTCTCTGTTTTCATTTTTCACGTCTTTGGGTGATTGATGCTTTTAGGGACGCAAAATGCTACCGAAACAAGTTCAGTTTGGTTAAAAACAATGATTTCTTCCTCAAAAAATTGGAACTCCCCAATTCTTTTGGCATTAAAATGCTTTCTTCTATAGTGCACATGTCTTTGAGTGTTTAATGCTTTTTAGAAAAGTGAATCCCCACCAAAACACAATCATTTTGGGCTTAGTTAATATTTTTTATCAAAAGATAGGGAAGGAGCAATTTTTGAGTATTGGAATGTGTTTCAGGAACCTTTTTTTATTTGTAGGTTTAGGTTCCAAGACTGCTTTGTTGCCAGCTGATAGCTGTCTACCTTTATATTACACATATGTTGCAGTCCACAACAGATCTTGTGTCACAGTATGGGGGAACCTCCCAACAAGAAGGTTACGGTTAGATGTGTGTTATGTGCGAAGGAGGTGAATAAGGATGGTATGAACCACCTTAAACATCACATAACAAGGGCGAGGTTGCAACTGTGTTAAAAGAATGTGAGGCAAAAGATGCTGGTAGTTATCCAAGCCAATAAGGAGAAGGCTGCAGAAAGGGATATGATTGATGAGATTTGCAGCCAATTTTGTGCCACTTGTCAAGATGGAGGGATGGGGGGGATGTTGATGATGAATTTGGGGCCCAACTCAAACTTGCAAAGACGGCAAGCTTAGAGGAAATGTACAGCCAGTATAGCGGCATGGGGAGGTGTGCAGGGATGGGGTTTTCCTAAGCCAAGACAACAAATGGCCATGCGAAACTCACTACATCAATCTGATGCTCATAGACATAGGGAAGCTTAAGCAAGTGAAAGAGTACTGTAAGAAAGGTATAACCATCACCATATCCATATACAATCACTTGTGGATTCTAGCTTTGATGAGGCAAATTAACAGAGGGGATATAGTTGATTAGGCAAGCCATCACATGGTTTGCTACCTCATTCTTATCCATTGAATCACCATTAAGTTGCAATCAGCCATTAAGCAGATGGTGTCCTCAAAATAAATAAATGTCCCTTTCAAGGACCCAAGTTGCAAGGGAAGTTCAAGGGATAATCAATAACAAAAGGTCTTGAGATAGGTGTGAGGCTGTGAGTAGATAGTAGCAATTAGAGCAACTCCGGCAGATGACTTGAAGGATGGACTTTGATATGAAGTCTGCTGGGGGTTCTTATGATATAAAGCAATTGATCGAGCAAAGCCGGCCATCAATGCCACATGTATATTCCATAACAATGTAAGCGGCTTTGACATTAAAAATTTCAAAATTTATTGCCATTTGAATTTTAGAATTTTGACTATGGTTTATGATTGATGACAGTTAACGTAATCAACCATGGCATCGTTAGTTAATGGTGTTCTTCAAACGGGTATACTTCTTTGCCTCAGGACAATCATCTCATCTCAAGATCATGGAGGGGGTGAAATATCACATAGAAATATTTCACCGAGATGGAAATAAGTCGATTGAAGCTTTGAAGGAGGTCAAAAACATTTTTTGTGAAGCAATTTTCCCAGCTCCTGAATAATGCAATTCACATTTGTGAACCACTAAACCTCATTCTTTACTTTTCTTTTTATGATGCACAACGGAATTTTGCAACAAATCTTGCTAGGAAATCTCGCAATCAGGTGGATCCAATGTTTCAGAAAACAATAGGCAGTCCCTAAGAGGCCGGTCTGGGGCCAAGTACCCAGACTCTAGGTGGGTGCCCTGGGGTGTAAAGTTTTCAGAAATTTGCATATATGTGCTGTTCAAAAGCACATATATGCAGATATTTGTGTTAATTTCGTATATTTTTACATTTAGCACATATTCTAACTAACTTTCCATGTAAATATATATATATACATGACTGTTGAAACACATTCAAAACTTCAAATCATTGAAAATTTAGTGAAAAAATAAAAAACATAAACAAGCCCATGGTATCATTAGCCTCCAACTCTCCAATCCAACTGAGTGTGGCACATGATCACAACTAGACAAGATGACAAAAATACAAAAGAAAAGTATAAAACCAATAGTCTAAATGTCCAAATTCCAAAACAAAAGGATGCCACACTCAAGCGACAATGAAATAGAAAAGATGAGCGAGAACTTTCTCTCTTCAATCGTCACTAGATAAAATCTGCATAATAACTTGCACCTCAGTCCTCATCTGAATCAAGGCCATGATCATCAGAATCATTACCCTCTATAATATTTTGCTCACTATACAGAGTTTCTTCTGAATCTACCTCCTCCTCTCTCTCCCTCACCCTTTGTGAAGTAGCCATATGAGCAGCAGTTGTTGCATGAGTGGCCCTCCTAGGTTCAGAACATAATTCTTGGAAATGCCTGATATTCTGAAAGAATCCAAATCGCAGAATCGCTGCTGGCAAGAAGATTCCTCTTTTCGGCATCAATGTCCATACATGAGGAATTGTGGAAAACAAGATTCCTACTTTATAGGAATCGAGAATCGACCCAAATGGCATCTAGATCTGTAGATATCTGGAATCGGGATTCTATCCTCTTTGGAATCAAGTTTCTAACCTATTTGGAATCAATCCATATGAAATCAAGATCCCTTCATATATGGAATCGCGATTCTGATATCTTTGGAATCGAGTTTCTAATTTGATGCTTCTCTTAGGTTTTGAATTGTTTATTTTGAGGTCCATGGCCTTATGTTTGTGTTTTAATTTGATGGAGAGTTTACCACTATGTGAAATCCAAATTCAACAAATGTAGAATAGAGATTCAACGATTGCATAATCGAGAATCAATAAATGTTCGAAATGATATTCTTGAAGTGTTGGAATCGAGATTCCCCAAATAAGGAATCGAGATTCCTGACTTTAAGAAAGCGAATCATATGAAGATTGTTTGTCGAAATCGCGGAATCGGGATTCTGAATCGGAATTGCAACCTTAGCAGAAAGAATCTAATAAATCCGGATCAAAAGCTGGATCTAAAGCCTCCTCCACCATGTCCTAGATTAAACCTTCCCTGAGGAAGACCTCTTCAGTACTATGTTGTCATCCAACCATTCAAATGCATTCTCCTTATCCTTTG